TTGTCATCTTTTTTTAAATGTGGAAACATACTTTTGAGGGTTTGTAATATTATTAAATCCTTTGATGCTATTGAATTTAAATCAAATTAAATCGCAATGTCAGGTAGCCAACTCATGCTGCATTCAAATTACATTACACATTATCTAGCGAGTGAGGCGAATATGTGGAATTCTATTTCCAAACTGAAATTTTATATAAATGTTGTACAAAAGCTACTTTTGTAGACAAATTGGCCTTTTTCATTCAGTGAAAAGGCCAAAATATCTGTGAGAGAAAGCATGTACATATTTTTGGTGCAATATTTTTGTTATCTCACATTTTATAGGAATATTTATATTATTTGAATGTACAATCAATGAAGATAATGTGGAAAATCAAATACTTTCAAATCATATTCTTTAGAAATAGATAAGTTTTCAGAAATAAATTTTCTTTTGTGCTGTTTTTAGGTAGGTCTTGCTTTGATTGAATTCACTTACGAAATCAACTTTAGAGGGATTTCAATACCCTATTGTAATGCCTAAAAAAATCTTGTGTGGATTGTGTAGTAACTCATCGACATGTTCATCCATTTTAATTGATGAGGCACAAGGTGATTTGTCCTATTTTGATTTATAAAAAAAAAAAACTTTTCAGTCGAGTGTTTTTGATTCGATCATTTAGTTCTTGCATTTGTGAAACAAAGTATGCTTTGATACTATTCTTATGGCATGAGAAATTGAGTTTGTATATTTTTAACCCATTTTGAAATGATGCCAAAAAATACTTTGGCAACCTTTGTTATTAGATGTAATGTAAATCTATATTTTCAAAGTAGGAATATACATTTAGAATTGCCTATATTCGACTGCTGTGTCCTCTGCACATTGTTGCCGTACACTCCTTCAAATGAAATGTCGATTTGAATATTGAAAATTATATCAATAAAGAGAAATTTATTTGTTAAGATGATTATTATGTGTATTTATAGAAAGACATCTTCGTGTCAATCCATTACCACAAATAGTAATTATCATGATCAAAAAAATATGTCAGCTGTGAAGGTGAATCTTTCAATGATTAGTCAGATAATGGCTATGTAATCATAATTTTTTTTGTTCGTAACCTTTTATTTCAGGTAAACAGATTTTGGTGTTGAGGAAATAAGTGTTTTGCGTCATTCTGTTACTATGAAATTACCCAGAGTGAATACGATTCTACTATTATATGTCCATTTCACTTGAAAATTTATCGTTATTTTTTTTGAAAGTCGAGTTTATTGCCAGGTGCATTGAATATGTGCAACACTCAGTATATGAAATAATGTAGTCCAAATTTATACCACGATACTTTTATATATATCTTAAAATAGTGATGAGTGAACCTATGACAGACATGTAGTAAGTAAATAAAAAGTACACCAGATTTTGATTAAAAACGTTTTATTTGTAACCAAGCTTAATTTGTGGATGTTTTAGAGGTACTTTTAAATCCAAAGACTGAGTTATCTTTTATAATAAAAATAGTATAGAGATATCGACTGCTCGACAGCTATCACCCCGAGGCGCGCCTAGGTGGGCGGCGCGCCGAGGGGTGATAGCAGGATGCAACTTTCCCGCGAGCCAGTATAGAAACAGCCAGTCCTCGAATATTATAGCAGTCGATATTTCTTTTATATATCGAATTGACACAAAAATCTACCAAGAATTCCTACCTTATTCTTTTCTTGAGTAAAGAATGGATAAAACATCACAGAAAATCTGAGCCACTGTCTGTCATTCTTTGCTGGAAAAAATGACTGAAATGTTCAATAATTTGGGAATCGCAGACAAAAAGCACTTTATGGTGTCCGCGCTCGCACAAAGACAATTATAACACGTAAACCAGTGGGGATTGCAGTATGAGGGCACTTTTCAAAAGACTATTGACTGGTAGGCGGGGCATGGCTTAAATCACAAGTCCAATTTCGACCAATCAGATGGTTAGATTTCTAAAGTGAGGTATATAATTGCAAGTAACATAGCGCCTCTATAGCACTTTGAGATGCCATCGAAGCAGTGACAGTGTGAGTTTAGTCAATGCGTATGGTTTCAGAATAGATATGTCTTCTAACTCTGTTTGAATTGGTCTCCTGTTGATGATGATTTGAATTGAGGAAGAAGCCTGTTCTAGAAGATTATTGACTGGTTGAATGAAGGTCACTGACGATGCTAAACGATCGAATGTGCCGTGAATGAGAACGTCTCACAAGACACTGCCTATTCTATCTGTCTCTGTCCGTCTTTCTTCTGTCCAACGAACGAACCATCAAAGTGAATAGCCTGATGAAGCTTATCATACCTAAACATACATATACATGTATATTACATATTGAAGGATTGAGAGAGAGAGAGAAAAAAAAAAGAGAAATAGAGTAAGAGTGAGAGAGAGAGAGAGAGAGAGAGAAAGAGATAGAGAGAGAGAGAGAGAGAGAAGAGGGGATAGTTCTGTTTCAAGTACGCACATTAATAAAGACACATACAACATATTTAGGTAGAACATTCTTTAATTAACCAACAACTATGCCTTAGTACATATTTCAAGAGAAAAATTGAAGAAAGGTAGTTAAAAGTAGCTTAATTAGATAAGGAATGTGAAGTAATGAATAAAATATTCATGTTATAGGCCTAAGTAAAATAAGGAGTGAATACATTTCCTTTAGCAATAAGTGTAATAATTAAGAAAATATAGCTAATCAAACGAAAACAATCCCACATCTTAACATGAAGGTCTCGTTCTTGAAAGGGGGCTACATCAATCATGACCTAACCTGCTCTCTAGATACAGGAGTGAAAATCCACACTCAAGAGTAGTTGAATTCACTCCCAATAGAGTACTTCAAACCACTACATGGGAGGAGATTCCTTTATAATTCGGGTTCGGATTCAACTCTGAATGCAGTGACCGCTGAAATGACTCGTAAAACAATGCATTTCCACTCCTCTGCTTTTAATGGAGTAGCCCCCTGAGGACGGAAGCACAAAGAATATAGTTCTCCATTCCGTATCTATGATTTATTGTGTGCCAAAACGAATATTGTACATGCATTAAGTCTTAGATATAAATGATGACTTATTCACGATAGCTGTTATTTTGCGACAATAATTAAGTTGAACAATAGTTTAATGGATGAAGAGATTGCCAATCCAAAAAACAGTGTAGGTGTTCAACTCATGTGGGAAAATGTTTATTACCATGGCTTAAAGTTAGGTCACATTAAACAATACCCGCCAAAGAAATAGTGTGGAGCTAATAACAGTTGATGAAAAGACCAATAGCAAAAAACGTAAAAAGCTTAAAAGCTTAAATTGTCACCTCTTGTTTCTGGAGGCAAAGTAATAAAACTATGACGTTTCTCGACAAGAATACTTCGATGTTGACTAAAAGGATAATGAAATACACACCAGTATTATGGTGAGAGCATGTTTAAGAAACGAGCTCAACGAGACATAATTCTAAGATACATTTAATCACTAGAAAAATGGAAGACATCTTTGTTCTTGAATAATCTTAAAGTAAGCTACATTACATGTATTTCAACATATTTCTTTTCTTTTCGATTTCAATGAAAGTTAACGGAAAAAGATAGACTTGACATCAGATAATGGTCAGAAAAATAGAACCCATCGAATTGCACCGAAGAAAACACATAACAAAAGGCGAACCATTTTACCTTCAAACTCTTTAGCCTATCTGAAAGATCTACATGTAACACGAGCGCAAAGACTTTCGAGAAATCAACCTAGAGCGATGTCAATAGCCCTGAGCGTCACCTTAGAGTGTGCGAACATCACAATGACATTATTACAAAATCTGAACGTGATCTCGAAAGGCAGTTTTGAGTTGATTTCTCAAAGTCTTTGTGATCGGGTTATACTTAACAGAAGCAAAACAAAACAAGAAGAACAACATTGTGACATTTATAATCCTACGCACTGCTAATCCCGACACAAAGAGCAAATTAATTATTTTTCTTCTGTGATAAGGAGCAACAATAAAGAGATTCTGCCATTTCTAAAATGGACGATGGAACAAAATGCAACTAAATACGTAAAAGATAAAATAAGTAAAACATAACGAATGTTAAATGAAAGAAGAAAAAAGAAGAAAAATGTAAGAGAGCTGTCTAAAAATCTACTGAGTAGCATAGAACACATACTCATACAGGTGTATATGCATTCATTTTATAGGCTGCCTACTGCCAGCTAAAGGTACGAATCTATATTTCTGGTTGGCTATCACACAGAATCAAAGTTTTATTTGCACAAAATAATGAAACAAGCACATGTCACCGTCTTAAATTTGTCAAACTAGACTACAACATTACGAATATTAAATGAAAGAAGAAAAAAAGAATTTAAAACTTGAGTTTGATAAGATCTGTCTAGAAATATATGGGAAAGCATAGAACACATACTCATACAGGCGTCTATGCATTGATTTTAGGCTTCGTACTTCTAGCTAAAGGTATCTTTTATATTTATGTTTGGCTATCACACAAACAAGGATTACCGGCAAAAAGAAGAAGAAACAATCATACATCTCAGAACACCAGTAAGATATCCTTCATTAAAGATAAACTTGAGTTATGGTAAAAAAAGAAAATGAATTCTCACAGAATCCAACGAAACTTACACTGAATGTTAAAGATTACAAATAAATGTCATGTGCCAAACAATTTTGGAAGAAAATGTATATTGGCTGAGTAATGAGCATAGAAAGATAAGGAAATCAGGGTAGTACTAGCCCCGACACCATGTGTGTTGTCCCATATACATCTTTCTGTGTAAGTGATTGTTACTTTACCAAGACTCTGCCAAATTTATGATGATTTTGATGACTCCAGAACTTTGCATTACACACCATTACTAACATGCTATATGATCAACTTTTCTGATCCATTCCACACCTTTTTTTTCACAATGCAATCGCATTACCAGAACTCAAGTTTATCTTTAAGAGGCTGCATTAAGTAAAAATCATTGCAGTTTTCTTGATGTTTGAATTAAAAGGTTTCCCCATTTCAGAGGTTTCTTTATCAACACAAGCTAAACAACGAATATCCAAAATGATTCCGTGCAAAGAGGAGCTATGACACTTTAAAATTATGCTTGTAAGTTTACTCCAATCAAAGGGATTTCTTCTTCTTCTTTTTTTCTCTCTCTCTCTCTCTCGTTATTAGTCCTGCTCAGTAACACCCACTCTGCGATAGCCAATCTGCTCGGGGCGAGGACGACGCGTGCGCACCAACAGCAGCACCATGATGACAGTAAGAGCGATAAGAACACAGAGGGCGCTAACGGCCACGATCATCAGGGAGTCATGAGACTCGGGTCCTGGAGAGTGAACGAAAAATTAACATGATATTAATAACATCAACAACAACAATAATAATAATAATGGTATAAATATACCGGGGCATACCTACATTTATACTACGCAAACATCGCACCAGAAAATGCTGAACTTTAAGATGCTCAAGCATTTCTGAATGAGTAAACTGTACATCGATGTGATTCTCTTTTAAAGGTAAGGGGGGCGTGCGCCCCCACGCCTCCTGGATCCGCCCCTGGAAGTGGTGGGTCCGCACTAGTCGACCTCAACGCACTTAGACTACGCCGACCTTTACTCCGACCTCACTATATTTCATCGCAACTAGCTCTAAACACGACCCTTACGCCGACCAAAATTGACATTTGACCTTTTACAAGGTTTGTTGGTTAACAATCGAAAATGAAAATTAGATTCCGCGCGGTTTAGATGCGGAAGCTGGGTTGCGGTCGACTAGTGCAGGCGGAAAATACGCTGAGTAAAGACTGCGTCGGTGGAAGGTCGTGTCAACTTAATCGTGGCAAGTTGGTGCGAGTGAGAGCATATGGACAACTAAAGTCAAATATGTGTGCAATAGTTATTACTGCAGGGAAAAACTTACGCCGACTAGGAAGCCCCTTGGACATGGCTATTGTCTTGTATTGTTCGTTGCTAATGGCCCGGTCCCACTGGCCGACGGACACAAAACGTATGCATAAAGGACACAGCGGACGAGCAAAATTTCGGGGGTGGCTCCATCCGTTTTCATCCGCTCCAGAAATGGACAAAATTTGCGAAAATTTGCGAAAACAGAACGGAAAATAACGGACGTGGGTAGTATGTAGCGGGGATGTTAAACGGATGTTCATCGGAAGCATAGCGGATGAAAGCGGATGGAAGTGGATGACAGCTTCGAATACTTTATATACGAGATGCATACGCTTACATCCTTTCTATTTCCGTGCTACTAACGATGTATAGACGTTCCACGTACCTTATCTTTCCTCCCTCTTTCCGTTTTCAGCTGCAGCGGATGTGAGTTGCGAGGATGCCCAGAGGATGCAGAGAGGATATAGCGGACGTTTACCGGATGATAACGGACATAGAACGTGTGTTGCTCGTATTTGTCGCGGATTTACATCGTACACGGCGGAAGTTCATCCGTTCTAAAAGTTTTGTGCAGCTCAAAACTTTTTGCGCGGATGAAATCACAGTGGACGGATGCTCGACGGATAGAGCGTATGAAACACGTATGCAATGAGTACACAACGGATGCATAGCGTTTTCCAACGGATGGCAAGATTTTTTTACGTTTTACATCCTCTTTGCATCCGTAAGTGCAGTGGGACCGGGCCTTTAATGTGACATGAATTCCTTTGCATTTTTGGTAATGTCGGATGTCGCCTTATCATAATGCACCGTGAACAAACAGGACATTATTCTTGTCAGCATTATTTACTCTACGGACACTACTCACCGTCATCAACGCTATCAAGCAACATATCCCTTTGGGAGCGTGAGGCATCGGAGAGCGGTCCGTTCGTGATGGTATGAGGTTTTGATCGTGAGCCTGTCGATTGCAGACTACGACGAGCTCGGGCTAGGCACCCCTGAGCGCAGCGGGTGCCAGAGTCGTTGTTATCACAGATCAAGATTGAGCAGTGGACGTAAACCTGTTTTGAAAGAGGACGGAGTTAGTTAAATGGCGACAAAAAATGTAAAGCATCTTTACGACATGATAGATGGTTTAACGCTAATGATAAGTTGTCGTAAATTATAACAAAGTCCCACATTTCGAATGTAATACCAACTGCACGCTACACAATCTGACTACGATCCGATTCGGATTCAGTAATCGAAAAATCATTGGATTTGAATTTTCATGTAAATCATTTCTTGTAATATGATCGGAATAGTTATGATTAATAAAATCTAAATTTTAAAAGATGCCAAGCCTTCTTTGAAAGAGACAAGCTAATGCGGTGGTCAAAACCCGCCGTACTTGCAGTACCGCCTCCGTACGGATTTGGGAGCACGCAGACACATCGTAGCACTGTTAGTGCACGAGGAACTTTCGCTGCGGTCGGGCTACCGATTCACCCCCAGTGCATGTGACGTGCGTGCCCGGTAGCGTTATTTTTTTATGCGGCACAGATTGGGGCTTTTTTTTAAAAGGGGTCTTGATTTACAGACTGTACTATAGACAGTATAAGTAGTAGAGGTCTGTTTTTAATAGTGTTACATGTAATCCACTACCGCATGGAAAATCATTACATCAACAATTAAAATCAAATTGGAAATCTGAAGAAGAGGCAGCACGTCGATAAGGAGAACATCACAATAATTAGTCAATGAAACTTAACTAACTTAAACGAATTAGAATGTTATCTAAACACATAGTTCGCGATGGATATACAAACTTCTTCGCAGCGCTAATCCGCTAGCGAACATGACTAGTCTCACGTACGTGCAGACACTATTCAGAAGGGAAAGAACGTACTTCCCATAGGTTTAACACGCGCCATGCCCCAATCTGTGCCGCATAAAAAAATAACGCTGCCCGGTACTGCCAACGAGTGCACAACGCACTGACTCTGTGCGTCTTTTAAAGGCGCACTTAGCACGTGTGTGCTGCGCACGTGTGTGTTGCGCACGTGATAAGTTCGTGGTCCGTGCTTACTCGCCACTTCCCCAGTTCAACTGTCCAATGAGCACGCAAAACTCACGTGGACCGTACCGAGTAAGCAATTACAACGCACGTTGTGCACACTGATTTATCCAGTATATAGTCTCTGCGCAACAGCTTGGACTTCTGGAGAACATCGGAATGTCGTCCTATATATACCTCGACATCGGGCGGAAAAACACACCGAGTTCATCGCACGTGCACGCACCTACAACGTGCGATTGAGTGAAGACACCGTACGTGAGCAGCACGCGTAAGTACGGTCTCCGTAAGATAACGTGGCAACCGCACGGAGACCGTACGATGCATGTACTTACACCGTGCGTGTGACGTGCGTTGCTGGTACTCCCTCCCTGCCTTTGCCACTCCCTCCCTAGTTTTCAGAAAAACGTGGCGGTCAAAAAACCGTACGGACTAAAAACACGCACGGTTGGTTGTGACCAACGCTTAAATCGGCTCAGTATTGTAGTGACGTCAGTAGTGCGATTGTCATATTATTTAGAACCTAAATCAGGAAGATGGTGTTTAATTAGATTGCAATATCCAATATGATTGCCATTTCTTCGAAACTCAGATCACAGGAGGATCTTATATTTAGGTGATACGTACGTAGACGTATCACCTTTTGATTTCGTCAAGATTTTTATTATTATTATTTATTAGGTGATACGTATGAAATATACGTATCACCTTTTGATTTCGTCAAGATTTTTCTTTATTATTTTTAGGTGATACGTACGTAGACGTATCACCTTTTGATTTCGTCAAGATTTTTATTATTATTAGGTGATACGTAACGAAGTCAACGTATCACCTTTTGATTTCGTCAAGATTTTTCTTTATTATTATTATTATTATTATTATTTATTTTTATTATTCTTCCTCGAATTTGTTCGCAGGATATCTCAAGACTGAATAAAGCCATTATCATGAAACTTTCAATGATGATAGATCTTAGTCTAACTTAGAACTGTGTGACTTTTCAGACAGTCAAGGTTATCGTGACGTCATCCAGGCGCCATTTTGTGAAAATCAACTTATGATCATATCTTCATAAAGAAAAGCCATTTTTCATTCATATTTATCATGATTAAACTCAATATCCGTCCAGTCAATTTCAAGTCAATAAATGCGCGCAAAAATGCGCGTACGCTTATGTCCGCGCGTTTACGCGCGCGAAAAAAATTAAAATGCTCCAAATCATCCCAATTTTTTTTTACATCCGTTTCAGGCCATATGGAGCATTTGATAAAAAAATTACGCACACGCGCATGCGCGCGCATTTTCGCGCGTACTGGCATTTTGCAATATAGAATCGCCGAATTTTTTCTGTCATTATATTTGATACATTTTTCCAAGCATTTTGATAACTTGTTCACCTTTTAATAACGCAATGAGCGTCCGTCAAAGTTGACAGCACGCGCAGATCTGCGTTATCTTTATCCACCATACATTGGCAAAAACATGCCTATACAAAATTCATTGTAACTGTTCAGAATGGATGGGAACTCCCAATATGTTTTCATATTTAGATAGATTATGAGTTGGAGATATGATTTCATGTCTCATTTGACCCTCAATTAACTCATGATGTCATCATAATGGCCTCCAAACTCAAAATTTCAATTTGCATATTATGACGTCAGCATATTTTTGGAAAATTAATTGTATCTCTGTAAATATTGATCAATTTTCTTTTAAATTTTGAAATGTTCTAGCTGAGACAATTTGCTACAAGTATAGTTGCCACAATTTTTCATTTTGACTAAGGCATCAAGGCGTACTTTTGCGATTAAAGGAGGCATGTCAATTTTTCACATTTTGCGTGTATTCTCTATGGGACATGACTTTTTCTCAAAACTGGATTCTACACTCCTGTCTTTTGCGAGCGAAATCTCCCATATTTTAGCTTTGTTTTCGCTGAGCTTCGAATATGTTGTAGCTGAGACAATAAGCTATCACACGTGTGCCTTTTATATTTCGATCAGATGCCGGGATTATGCTCATATTTCACTTGAAAAGTAGGATTTCTGAATTCCATTTCCCGTTTACGTGTAATCGCTATGGGAGATGTTTTGGTATATCGGTAACGCACTTGACTTCCAACCTCGAGATCACTGGTTCGAGTCCGGGTGTCTCCAACAATTTTTTGCTTCACTTTTTTTTTCCTTTTGACCTTCACTGTACCATCTCCTTTGATTATTTAAACACGTAGATTCGCAAATAATGTCATAAATAACCCTTTTTACTTTATTATTACCCTATTTTCACTTAATCCATTACTTTTTGCGTGTAATCCCTATGGGAGATGACTTTTTCTCAAATCTGGAGTCTACATTCCTGTCTTTTGCGAGCAATATCGCCGTTATTTCGGCTTGGATTTTGTTGATTTTTGAGTATGTTGTAGCTGAGACTATATGCTATCTAAATCAACCCTCATTTTTACAATAAGATGTCATGATCGCGCTCATGATCATCATTTTATAATGATGATAATCATTTATCAATTACATTTTCATTTCTTTGAATAAGATAAAATCGTCAAAAGGTGTTCTTCATGATGTAAATTAGAGTCAAATGTGTAACTGGTTACTGCACTGGTTCAAAGGTCATATATTGTTTCAATCTATCTTCCCTAGATCCATGATGATCAAGGAGACACAATTTAATCTTGACATATGAATAGATCATAATGGGAGAAGCATATGAATGGGAGAAGCATTTTACAAAATAATATATCGTGTAATGCATTATTCGTTATGTAAACCATTATCATACGTATCACCTAATTCGTCTAAGTGACGAATTAAAGTCTAGTTTATTTATTTATTTATTTATTATTATTCTTCCTCGAATTTGTTCGCAGGATATCTCAAGACTGAACGAAGCCATTGTTATGAATCTTTCAATGATGATAGATCTTAGTCTAACTTAGAACTGCGTGACTTTTCAAAGACTCAAAGTCATCGTGACGTCATCCAGGCGCCATTTTGTGAAAATCAACTAATGATCATATCTTTATAACGAATAATAATTTTTCATTCATATTTATCATGATTAAGATCAATATCCGTCCGGTCAAGTTGAGGTCAATAAACGTGCGTAAATGCGCGCGGGCGCGTTCGTCCGCGCGTTTACGCGCGCGCAAAAATTAAAAATGCTCTAAATCATCTCAAATTTTTTTTGCATACGTTTCAGGCCATATGGAGCATTTGACAAAAAATCATGCACACGCGCATGCGCGCGCGTTTTTTGTGCGCACTAGCATTTTGTAACATAGAATTGCCAAATTTTCTATTTCAGCGTATTTGGCACATTTTTCCAAGCATTTTGATAATTTGTTCACCTTTTAATAACGCAATGAGCGTCCGTCAAAGTTGACAGCGCGCGCGGATCTGCGTTATCTTTATCCACAATATATGGGCAAAAACATACCTATACAAAATTCATTGTAACTCTTCAGAATAGATATGAACTCCCAATATGTTTTCATATGTTGATAGATCATGAGTTGGAGATATGATTTCATGTCTCATTTGATCCTCAATTAACTCATGATGTCATCATAATGGCCTCCGAACTCAAAATTTCAATTTGCATATTATGCATATTTTTGGAAAATTGATTGTATCTCTGTAAATATGGATCAATTTTCTTTTTAATTTTGATATCTTCTAGCTGAGACAATTTTCTACAAATGTAATGTTCACAATTTTTATTTTTGACAAAAGTATCATGGTGTATTTTTGCGATTAAAGGAGGCATGTCAATTTTTCGCATTTTGCGTGTATTCTCTATGGGACATGACTTTTTCTCAAAACTGGATTCTACACTCCTGTCTTTCGCGAGCAAAATCTCCGTTGTTTTAGCTTCGTTTTCGCTGAGCTTCGGATATGTTGTAGCTGAGACAATGAGCTATCACAAGTGTGCCCTTTATTTTTCGATTAGATGCCGGGATCATGCTCATATTTCACTTGCAAAGTAGGA